GTTTTAGCTTTGACAACAAGATTGGTCTAGGTATGGGCACCCAGTCCTCACGTCTAACGCAAGTTTCGAGCCTCACATATTTGCTTTATTTGTCCATTTTTTTTACGTATTTAACAGTGTTCCAAATTAACGCTATACTAGTGACCCAAGTCCGACAGCTTTTCGAAAAGGTTGAAGCTCAAGCAAGCGTAATTTGAATCTTGTTACATTCAGTCAACATGATACAAGAAACGATAATGTTTCCTTATGATTTAAATTTTACCTCTCGGCAAGCCGTGTAAGCATGCGTCAACTTTATCTCGTGCCAACGCATTATCTCGCCATTGTGAGCTGCTATGTGCAATCCTATTAATAGTTCGATGCTTTTCGCAGTTTTTACGGTGTTATTGTTCTAAATATTTCTAATTAAGGCATTACAGTAAGTTATATATTTTCATGTTATGAAATTAGCACTGAATGTTAAAATATTTAATATAATCTCGAAATTTCTCAAATATTTCCTCCTCCTTCAAACCGTACGGCTCCAAGTCGTAATGGTGACGACCATACTTATTTTGGGGATTTTCTTTTATATACTCCTTCATCTTCACTTCGGCTTGCTCGCTGAGATCGAGCCCAAACTTATCATAAATCTGTCGCACTGAATCCATCGGCGATCGAACTAGATGTTCGTAGTCAATATCGACGAATCTGTGTTCTTGATCAGGGTGGTTCTTTCTGAATTCTAGGATTTCGTTCCCAGCATGAAACAGAGCGTTGTCTAGGATGTCTCTTCCTTAAATATGAGCACAGACAAATAAAACGCTATCAGAAATCATTGACAATACAACTTAACCAAACATTATTTACATTGACAGGATCATGAAACAAACATACAACAAAAACTAAAACGATTTTATAATTATACAGGTCAGAAAAAAATCTCATCAGATTATTATTTCAAAGGTTAGTATATTTCAGAAGATAGTATATTTCAAAAGTTAAAATGAGGTTCAAGGACACGCCCCTACCTATATCTTTGAGATCGTAGGCACAAGGAGTAAAAGTGCTGCACCAATGAGCAAAAGGAGGCGATCGATTTGCATGGATTGCGGTAGGTGTGGATGAACATTGCGTCCGGATACACCGCCAGGATTGCGTCCAGGTACACCCCGTGCATGGAATCTTTCAGAATGACGTGCTGGTCGTTGCTTGCTGAGTCTAATAAAAGATATTGATGTTGAAATTCATTTTCAGTACGATTTTGCTAATAAAAGACATAATTACTTTAAATATATAAATATAACAACGTACAAAAGTTATTTATAATAATACGACAAAGGGCACATTCAGAACAGCGGAATAACGTATCCTTGGATCAATTTTGGCGACCCACTTGAATGTTTGTTAAGTAATCCTCACGGGGAATCTATTCAGTGTCTAATCGGGAATTAAGTTTTTTAGTGGGTCGCCATATTTGATCCGCGGATCTGTTAGTCAGGTGTTCTGAATGCGCTCAAAAACAACCAAAGGAAAAGGAAACATTTTGAAATGTTTAATTCTGCTATGTTCTGACCATATATTTTGAAATGGAGGGCGAAAAAGGTGAATCCTTTAATCATGTCTATCACGACCACATTTCTACACTTACCTCTTGCTATAAGTATAAGCTGAAGTTGCAATCGATGGAAACGATAGGCTTCCACCATCTCTTCCTTGGTTCGAGCGCGCACCCAGTCTCTGAATGGCCCAGTATTACCGATCACCCCTTGGTACAACTTAAATATTCCCATATTGTCGAACAAATGGAAACACTCGTGAGGACTCTTGGCCTGGATGTTGTGAATGTTTTTACGCAGTCGCTTAACTCGGTACGCGGCATCTGAAATATACGTATATTTATTACAAAATAATTTGAGAACGCGTGAGTGTGTGTGTGAGAGAGCCTGAGAGATGGTTCTCAAAACATTAATCTGGTAATCACATTGCCTCGGCTAGGTCAGCAAATGACTCACTCCTTAGTACGGTCCATACGGTCCACTGAACGCTCATAAAAGAACAATCCTAATATATTTGTAATACCGAAAACAACTGTTGGTTTGTTGTAGTTTCTACTTACAATAATAAATACATCAATTAAATACCTAGTAAGGAACTGAACATGAGAACATGCAGATCTTTCCCAGCGTTCACAGCGTCTGTGTTCTCCTCCACGGGGCACATCAACTCGTAGGAGAGTGGCGAAGTGTTCCGCGGGTCCTGGTACAGCAAATTCTGAAGAAACGTTGTCCCCGTCCGCATTGGCCCAATGATGAAAATAGGCTCCTTGATAGGGTACTTAAAAACGGCAATGTACATGTTAAACTCTTTAGCGGTTGAGTTGCTATAAATTGCTGTTTAACTGACAGAAAAAGATTGCACTTCAATAAGCAACAAGAGCATAAAGTGCATGGTTTACATAAACAAGGCTGCAAAGCTGTCAAATGTACAGACAAAAAGCAGAAAAGAGTTAGGGAATAAGAAGACACTGTTTTTCACTTATTGTGTTATGGGTGTTGCATATATGCTGAAAGAAGTGAAAAAACAGCATTACCCCCATACAAATTGAAATGGCCCGATCATACTGATTTTCGAAGTTGACCTGCATATTATGAATATTCATCAGTTCTGTAATTTTCAAGCCAAAAGAAAAAACGATTTTCCACTTATCGTGTTATCAGTAAAGGTGCATGGCGACGGCGACGGCGACGACAGACGCAGGTGACAGCTATATGTACAGACACATTTGTGTCTGTACATAAAAACAATGAGTAACGAAAAACCTTTATGCAGCATCGGGCTGACTAAGTTCTGGGTCAATTTTAAAGCTACGTATAGTGGTACGAGTAGGAGCTTCCTGGACATACCTTATGCACTTACCTTTGTCAAATCCACATTTGGAAGTCGTCTAGATATAGCAAGTCTGTTCTTTAATATCTCCTTCCATCTCCTTTCTATCCCCATCCTCCCATCCACCGAGCAGGTGTCATCTTCACGGTAACATTTCAACAGTTGAGTAAACCCCTGGTACCACCAGCGCCCAGTGAGACTGTCGGACAGCAGGAGACGCTGGTCGTTAAGAGACAGATCTCGGAGCAGGCTGTCCTCTGTGAGCGGCGTAAAGCGACGCCCCAGGACGACATGGAATAACCAGTCGAGAAGAACAATGACACAGTAGCGGCAGAAGATTAGAATATCGCTCAGTAGTGGCATAGTTAACACTCACTATGGTCACAAACCTGGGTGTAATATACCTGTTATATATTTTGCTGTCAATGAAAAAACTCAGGTAACCGCCCTTACTAGTTCGAACACGTGGATTGAGTGAACTATGAATTATCAAAGCAACTGAAAGCTACGGAAAATGGCGCTGCCTCACCTGGTTTCCTACCTCAAACGCCCTTTTTAACATTAACTGGCTCTCGCCTCTTCAAACTTGTATAGACAACTTTTTTTTCAGTGAACCGTTTTTTCAATGCGTGTCTAGCAGACCATACTGTGACTTGTATTTCATATTTTTATGTAACAGATCTGCATATGCTTACTGTTCTTTTATAAATGTGCGTGCGCCCGTGTGTATAGGTTAATGGAGGTGGAGGGTTGCTATAATATTTTGGAAGGAGTAGAAGGAAAAATGGTTCAGTTTGAAAACACCAGGGGTGGAACCGAGATGAGAGCGAGGGGAGGAGTGCTCGGATTTTGAAAACCGAACAGAATTTATCTAAAATATATTGACATTCCTACACTGATAACACACCTTACATCTGCCATATACAGGGGCGGATCCAGGATTATTTGGAGGGGGTTCATTTTTTTTTTCAGAATGACAAGCCTCGGATGTGAAGCCGACCATTATCTCCTTGGGGTTGGGTTCGGTGTTTTGGAGGGCAAACGGTGCCGTTTGGTGCAGTTTAGAGCTATGATTCAGCTCTTCAAGATCGAATATCAAGAGGTTAATATTGGTGTGATTTTTTTTCCAGAAACCGAAGGGGGGGAGGTCAGGACCCCCCTGACACCCTCTCTCCCCTAAATCCGCCACTGCCATACCAGTTTTCTGATAGGTGCAATATGTGACATGTTTCAGTAAAGGTTTCCCAGCGCTACCAAATCTAATAAGTGTCATTAACTTGGATAGGCTGGTGATCAGGCCATGACACCGACGCCTTGTTCTGTCAACAGGTGAACTGGTGAGGACAATTTCACATCGCACAACGTACTTATTTTGAATATGCTTTGAAATTGTTGGCGTTTCATTTTGAAGTCAAGAACTATGAAGAAGAAAATAGGCCAAATCACGTTACAGGCCGCATGCGCGAGGTTCGAGTTGTATTTGATAGTCATGAAAAAAGTTTTCAGGAGTTTCGAAATTACGAATGATGGTGACACCCTGTACTTTTGAGGTTACAATGTGTCTCTTTGGAAAGTCAATTAATGTATATTGAAAGAAGTACCCATAAGAAATGTAAAAGTGCCGACATCGATCAGGAAGTTTAACGGAAGGAAGTTTTAGTGGGCCCAAACGCTGCAAAATCTAATACCTCGAGTACAATGTTTCTAATTAAGACATATCAGTAGTTTATATTATTCTGTTATGAAGTTAGTACTGAATGTTAAAATATTCAATATAATCTCGAAATTTCTCAAATATTTCCTCCTCCTTCAACCCGTACGGCTCCAAGTTGTAATGGTGACGACCATATTTATTTTGGGGATTTTCTTTTATATACTCCTTCATCTTTACTTCGGCTTGCTCGCTGAGATCGAGCCCAAACTTATCATAAATCTGTCGCACTGAATCCATGGGCGATCTAACTAGATGTTCGTAGTCAATATCGACGAATCTGTGTTCTTGATCAGGGTGGTTCTTCCTGAATTCTAGGATTTCGTTCCCAGCGTGAAACAGGGGGTCGTCTACGACGTCTCTTCCTAAAATATGAACACAGACAACTAAAACGCAATCAGAAATCATTGACAATACAACTTAAACAAACGTTATTTACATTGACAGGATCATGAAATAAATTAAAAACAAAAATTTAAACATTTTTTTTATTTTACAGGTCAGAAAAACCTCATCAGATTATTATTTCAAAGGTTAGTATATTTCAAAAAGTTAAGATGAGGTTTAAGGACACGCCCCTACCTTTATCTTTGAGGTCGAAGACACAAGTGGTGTGGTGTTGAAACAACGAGCAAACGGATGCGAGCGATTTGCAGGGATTGCGGTAGGTGTGGATGAACATTGCGTCTGGATACACCGCCAGGATTGCGTCCAGGTACACCCCGTGCATGGAATCTTTCACAATGACGTGCTGGTCATCGCTTGCTGAATCTAATAAAATATGTTGATTTTATTAGAAAATTTTTTTCAATGCAATTTTCCTAAAAAATCAAAATAACTTTAAATATATAAATATAAAGTAATATAAATATAAATAGGCATAAAATTTCTTTATAATAAAGCGACAAAGAGAGCAATCAGAACAGCAAACTAACAGTTTGGCCGACCCACTTGAATTATGGCCCATCCACTTGAATGTTTTTTTTTTTTTTTTATTCACGAAAATTAATACAAGACACTTACAACACAATAAGAGACAGAAACACCTTCCACACATCATCCACACACTGCAAACAAAGTTCTTACAAATGTTGATTAAAAATACAGGTAGATTTTTTTTAGATAAAAGAATCTGAGTAGGCCTAGGCTACCACAAATGTTCTTTTCTATTCATATCAATATTTTTTCTATACTGTCCCATTTTTTTCTTAGATTATCTGCCTTTTGAGGACCCAGTAGGTATAAAGAGTGAAAATCTATTTTCTTTTGCTTTTCCAAATACTTTTTGCAGGCATTCCAAAGAGGTGTAATTTTATTCTGTCTACATAGAGCGAAATATTTCTTTATATAGAGAAGTAGTAGATTTATACCTAAGAGAGGGCTGTCGTCCAGGATTCCAAATATAAACAGGCATGGTTGTTGTTGTAATTCAACAGAGTACTGTGTACGTAGGTTCTGAATGAGACAAGTCCAAATAGCTTGAACATATGTACAGTCCCAGAAAATATGCAATAAAGTTTCTTTTGGGTCATTACAGAAAGTGCATCGCTCATGTTCTAACATATTATATTTAAAAAGCATCGAATTCGTAAAATAAATTCTATGTAAAATTCTAAATTGCAATGTGAGAAGTTTATGATCATTTGTTTCTCGAAAGGGCAATGCATGAACTAGCTTCCACTTTTCACTTGAAAAATCAATGTTCAGCTTTTCCCTCCACTTATCATGGATGTTAAAAGGTATTGCTTCCTTATCTGAAATAAATTTCGGGTAAAAAAGTTTCGTTAATTTGTTTTTCGATTTTAATAATACGAGATTTTTATTTGTTATTGCTGCAAGGTTCTTTTGATACCCTCTTATAACAGTTTTCCAGGCAGAAGGTAAAGCGCTGATGACGCCTTGATAGTCAAGGAAATTACAATATATATTATATTCATCACAAAAAACGTCTAGACTTCTTACTGAACCAGTATTATCAATCAGGTCATTAACGTAAAGCACTCCTTTTCGAAACCAAGGTTTATAGAAGATTATCTTGTTATTGATCTTAATATGATCATTTCCCCATAAAGGTTGTGCTAGGATATCATCCGGAGAAGTAGTAGAAAATTCTTGCACAGAAGCCCATATTCCCAAAATCTCTTTCCAGAAAGTGTTTAGTATATTAATATTGCGTATAGACTGTAGGCCCTTCAATGGAAGTAGCAATACGTCAACTCCCCCGATTTCCGCAATCTCATCCATCAAAAGAATTTTCCACGAAGAACAATTATGTGGATTTACCAATTTCTTTAGCCATATCAATTTAAGAGCTTTACAGAAGGATTTCACCTCGGGGACCTTTAATCCACCGTTTTCATAAGAATTAATCATAACATTTCTCTTAACTTTATCTATTTTACTGTTCCAGATAAGGCGATAAAATACTCGCTCCAATTCTTTAAAGAAATGATCAGCAGGCATAGGAAGGACAGTTCATATTTGGATGATGGTAGGGAGTGCCAAGGATTTTAAAATAGTTACTTTACCTAGGAGTTAAATATGACGGAACGACCAATCATTTAACAACGATTTGATGGAATGTAATTTTTCTCTAAAATTTTCTTCATAAATGTCCTAATTTGCTAGGTTATACCAAATACCCAGTAGTTTAAATTTTCCACTATGATTCCAAAATATACTTTTAGAGGTTTGATACTCCTCACCACAGCAGCGCTTTGCTCCAATCCAAACAGCCTGGCTTTTTTCAAAATTTATTTTCAATCCTGAACATTGAGAGAACAATTCTAGCATATCCAGAGCTGCATTCAATGACTCTCTATCATCTGCTAGATGGAGCGTAGAGTCATCTGCGTATTGTGTAATGACGTATTCTGAGTTATTCAGTAAGATCCCTTTTATGTTTGGATCAAATTTGACCGCCGCGCTAAGCAATTCTATGCATTATTTTCCACTGCAGTGGAAACATTCGAGTAAAGGGTTTTGAACCAGTTTTGAATATCTTCACTAAAATTAAAAAATTTAAGACACTGCAAAATATATGCCCACTCTACAGAATCAAAAGCTTGTTCGAAATCTAGCATTAGTAAAATTCCTGAAATGTCATCTTTTTCTGTTTTATGGATGATATCTTGAATAGTTCTGGAACATTCGCCTATATAGCGACCTTGAACAAATCCAGCCTGTGTAAAAGAGATGATATCGTCAATGTATAATTGGATTCTGGCTGCTATGCAAGCAGAAGCAAGTTTGTAATCAACATTCAGCAAAGTAATTGGACGCCAATTCTTAAGGAATACTTTCTCCTTCCCCTCCTTTGGTATACACTTGATTATACCTTGGCGTTGAGATGTAGACATTGACTGTATTTCAAAGGATTTATTCACCTTTTTTTCTTCTGGAAGGTTTTTAATAAATGGGTTTTCGTCACTGAAAAAACTATGGACGTTACTTGAACCCACTTGAATGTTTGTTGAATTATCCCCACGGGGAATCTATTCAGTGTCTAATCAGGAATCAAGCAGCAAGCTTTTTAGTGGGTCGCCATATTTGATCCGCGGATCTGTTAGTCAGGTGTTCTGAATGCGCTCAAAAACAACCAAAGGAAAAGAACATTTTGAGATGATTAAGTTCTGACCCTAAATTTTGAAATGGAGAGGCGATAAAGGCAAATCCTTTTATTATGTCTATAACGACTACATTCCTACACCTACTTCTTGCTAAAAGAATAAGCTGAAGTTGCAAACGATGGAAACGATAGGCTTCCACCATCTCTTCCTTGGTTCGAGCGCGCACCCAGTCTCTATATGGTCCAGTGTTACCGATCACCCCTTGGTAAAACTTAAATATCCCAATATTGTCGAACAAATGGAAACACTCGTGAGGACTCTTGGCCTGGACATTGTGAATGTATTTAAACATTCGTTTACCTCGTAATGCGACATCTGAAATTTGTGTATAATATTCATATTATAATACAGTATGTATATAAAACGATTTGAGAACTCTCTCTCTTTACTCTCTCTCTCTCTCTGCGCCTGTGTGTGTGTGTGTGTGTGTGTGTGTGTGTGTGTGTGAGAGAGAGAGAGAGAGAGAGAGAGAGAGAATGAGAGAAAAAAAGCCTGAGAGATGGTTCTCAAAAACATCAAACTGGTAATCCCATGAATCTATCGCCTCGGCAAAGTCAGCAAATGACTCACAAGTTATTACGGTCCATACGGTCCTCGGAACGCCCATAAAAGAACAATCCTCAAGTACTGTATTTGAAATACAAAAAACAAAGGTTGGGTTTTTGAGGTTATAATCATTTAAATAAATACAAAAATTACATACCTAAAAGGAAACTGAACATGAGAACACGCGGATCTTTCCCAGCGTTCACGGCGTCTGTGTTCTCCTCCACGGGGCGCATCAACTCGTAGAAGAGTGGCGAAGTGTTCCGCGGATCCTGGTACAGCAAGCTCTGCAGAAACGTTGTCCCCGTCCGCATTGGCCCAATGATGAAAATAGGCTCGTTGATAGGGCACTTAAAAAAAACGGCAATGTACATGTTGACCTCTTAAGCGGTTGAATTGCTATTAATTGTAAATTGGGTTTACTGTTTAAATGGCAGAAAAATGTTGCATTTCAATAAGCGACACGAGTATAAAGTGCCGGGTTTACATAAAAAACAGTGAGAAATGAAAAACCTTTATGCAGCATCGTGCTGACTAAGTTCTGGGTCAATTTTAAAGCTTTGTATAGTGGTACGAGTGGCAGTATCAGACTCTGTACACTTACCTTGGTCAAATCCACATTCGGAAGTCGTCTTGATATAGCAAGTCTGTTCTTTAATATTTCCTTCCATCTGATTTCTATCCCCATCCTTCCATCCACCGAGCAGGTGTCATCTTCACGGTAGCATTTCAACAGTTGAGTGAACCCCTGGTACCACCAGCGCCCAGTGAGACTGTCGGACAGCAGCAGACGCTGGTCGTTAAGAGACAGATCTCGGAGCAGGCTGTCTTCTGTGAGCGGCGTAAAGCGACGTCCCAGGACGACATGGAGATACCAGTCGAGAAGAATGATGACACAGTAGCAGCAGTAGTAGCAGAAGAAAAGAATATCGCTGAGTAATGCCATAGTAAACACTCACTATGGTCACAGACCTGGGTGTAATATACCTGTTATATATTTTGTTGTCACTGAAAAAAGAAAATTCAGGTAACCGGCCTTGCTAGTTGGAACACGACGACTGAGTGAACTATGAACTATCAAAGCAACTGAAAACAACGGAAAATGGCGCTGCCTCACCTGGCTTCTTACCTCAAACGCCCTATTTAATATAAATAGACTCTCGCCTCAGTTGCCCTATTGTAGATTCAATGTATAGACTTCTTTTTTCAAGTGTAGTGGATTTTCAATACGTGTTTACCAAACCTTACTGCAGCTCGTAATTCATATAGATTCTGACCATAAGTGTGTGTGTGTGTGTGCGTGTGTGTGTGTGTGTGTGTGTGCACCCGTGTGTATACATGTAGGTGGAGGGTTGCTATAATATATTGGAAGGAGTACTTCAAGAATTGGTTTAGTTTGAATGCACCAGGGATGGCACCAAGGCGACCGGGGGTGGGGAGGGGCACATTTTTTGAAAACCGAACAGAATTTATCTAAAATGTCTTGACTTACCTCCACTGATGACACACCGTACCACTCGGCTCACCGTCGATTGATTCCTGCGTCATCATATCTCGGCCGTATGACAGACGTCGCCATTTTGGAACTACTCTAGATACCCGGATGTAAACAATAATAAACATGGCGGCGCCCTGACAGGACATTCAGAACTCCTTGACAATATCCTCAGTGTTTCCAGTTGTTTTTCACGTAGTTTGAAGTCTTGATCTTTAAAAAGTGGGCAGGAAGATAGTGCATATTCAATACATTCGTCGAATGACGCCATATTTGTTAGATCCACGTGTTTTGGGGGAACTATATTGTTTTGATTGCGGTATACATTAGTGATGCGGCGCCGTCCATCCGGGTTCTTGACCTGATCACATATGTTGTGCGTAGGCGACATTTTTTACTGTCATACATCCGAGACTAGTTTCAAGGCGTTCGGAAGATAGCCGGAAATTGTCGAGGAGTTCCGAATGCTTCCGAACGCATTGAAACTAGTCTCGGATGTGTATGACAGTAAAAAATGTCGCCTACGCACAACATATGTGATCAGGTCAAGAACCCGGATGGACGGCGCCGCATCACTAATGTATACCGCAATCAAAACAATATAGTTCCCCCAAAACACGTGGATCTAACAAATATGGCGTCATTCGACGAATGTATTGAATATGCACTATCTTCCTGCCCACTTTTTAAAGATCAAGACTTCAAACTACGTGAAAAACAACTGGAAACACTGAGGATATTGTCAAGGAGTTCTGAATGTCCTGTCAGGGCGCCGCCATGTTTATTATTGTTTACATCCGGGTATCTAGAGTAGTTCCAAAATGGCGACGTCTGTCATACGGCCGAGATATGATGACGTAGGAATCAATCGACGGTGAGCCGAGTGGTTCGGAAGATAGCCGGAAATTGTCGAGGAGTTCCGAATGACACCGTACATCTGCCATATATTTTTCTTATGGGTGTAATGTGTGACGTGTTTCCGTTAAGGTTTATCAGCGCTACCAAATCTAATAAGTGTCATTAACTTGGATACGCTCGTGATCAGGCCATGACAGCGACGACTTGCTCTGTCAACAGGTGTATTAGTGAGGACATTTCCACATAAGCCTTACTGTGTCAAATTTAAATGTGTTTTGAAATCAATGGCGTTACATTTTGAAGTCAAGAACTAAGAAGAAGAAAATCTAGTAGGCTTGTTAAGGGGTCAAACGCTGCATTTTATAGTACAATGAATATTCCTTGGGCCAAATTAATTTTTTCATCCGCAGAAACATGCTCTATCGATGCATAAATTAGCATAATTAGCATAAATTATGTAAATTGGTTACCAAACTATGATATATATTTCATAAATTTCCATCTTTTTTTTGCCTATAAACATGTATAGATTATCAAACCTTACTAAATTAGGGACAAGGAACAAGGAACCCATTTTTGACATTTTGGAAACAACTGGCGGCCATTTTGCACCTCAAATCCAAGATGGCCGCCATCCGCCATTTTGAAAGTGGACATGATTTTGCTATTTTATGTTGATTTTTGAAGCGTTTGACTTACATAAACGTGTAATATATCCATTCTTACTATTTTGGTAGTGAAAAAGTCTTTTGATATTGCTTTGGTGATAGAAATGACTTAAAGGGTCAAAGGGGGTGTTTTAAGTAATTTTCAAGATATTTGTTCATGAAAGCTTCAAAACCATGGATATTGACAATTCTCTTTCGAATATGTCTCAATCCATTTTTTTTCATATTAACCATCGATACTGGACTAAATTATGAAGAAGAAACTCACTTTTGGCATTATGGCCACCAAATCCAAGATGGCCGCTATAATTCTCCATTTTGAAACTATTACACCTTCATAAGCGTGTTATACATCGTATTTTATTATTTCCTGGCGCAGAATACATTTTTATCATTATCTGTTTTATAAATTGTTAGTAGAACTTGTTATAAGCTTCCAAAATCAATATAGGATTCAGACATTACATGTACCTACAGATTGTATGTACAATTAGTAGTATAATTAGTACAAAAATATGTCTCTTAACATATTTAAAGGATTTTGCCTGATCTACAAATTAAGTGTCAGTAGATAAAATTGCTGAATTTAAGCAAAAGAATACATCTTTGGCCACATGAGGAAAATGTTTAGCAATTATTTTGATCAAAACCAAGTTGGTTGCATGCCGCTATTTTAGAAATTTGGTGTAATTTACAATTTTGGAACTGTGGGACCTACATACACTTATACTACTACTATTACATATATTTTTGTACTAATTAGACGTATGCAAGCGAATGTGAAGACTTAAGCCTATATTGATGTTGGACCCATGTAATATTTTCTACTTGCATTATATCTCACAAGTGATACCAGACACATACTTACACACACACACACACACACACACAAATAAAATAATAATAAACAAATAAATAAAATAAAATAAAATGAAAATAAATAAAAAAATAAAATAAATAAGAAACGATGTATAACATGCTTGTGCAACAGCAATAGCTTCAAATTGGCGAATTATGCCTTACCCGTATTTCAAATTCTCAACAATTTTCCATAACAGGTGTTTTCTGATGCGAAATTTGATGCTGAACAAAAATATGGCAATCATTTATTTCTACAACAATTATTTAGGTTGGTTAAATAACAATTTTCAAATTGGCAAACAAAACGCGTACGGTATACCCAGAGTTTTATCAACAACAGTTAAAGGTACTATAGTGTGTTATATGTTTTTTCTATATTTTAGGGGTTGTAGAAACCATAACAGAGAGTTCAGTTACCATGAAAGCTGGCGGTTAACTGTCATACAACACTGAAGAGCCAGAATCTTCGATAATGGGGGCAATGAACCACCTCAGTCATCTTGATCAATCAAAACGAGGAGTGATAAGATTTCTCAACGTCTGTTGGATGAGAATTGTAATGAAGAATCAATTATCCTTACCAAAAAGTGAATATTTTTAAATTATTAGAATAGGATGGATGATGCACCTTTGCTTTACGAGTATGAAGCTTGAAGAAATCCCTGTCATAAGCTGAGGCTAGCAAAGAAGTTGCCAGGAAATTTCCAATGTCGGAATCTCCAATAAAGTATTTTCCTATCTTTGAAAAGAACATTCCCAACAGATGTATGATGGATTATAATATATTTGGGGAACTAATGAAGTCTGTGACGTGCAAGGATTAAAAGTGGTGATATACGAAAGTGAAAAAGTAACCCCAATATGCAGTTATTTTGTAGGAAATGTTCTCAAAGAGAGGAAAGATATTCTTGGACATTCAGACATTGGACATTTCTTTGGCAACTTGTTTGCTGTCTCGGTTCATGATGATTGCTTCCCCGGCTCCTTTCGTGCAGAACAAAAATAATCCATCCATCCATCTCTTTTTAAAAAATTTAAACACATTTACCCTTTGGTTGCTTGTGGTAAGGATAATTCTGATTCTTCCTTCTTAACTGACATCCAGCAGAACTTGAGATATGTTATCACTCTTTATTTTTACTGACTGAGATCTGGCTCTTCCGTCAATAGGGTAACCAAACTCCATTTAAAATGTAACAATGGCAGTGTTAACACGAGAAAAATATACATGTATATTTACAACCCCAAAAACATAAGAAAGGGCATCTTACAAACTATGGGTCCTTCAACCGTCAATGTTGAAACTCTTGTTAGGGCGTTTTATCTGCCATTTTGAAAATCATCATTTAACCAACCTCAATGGCTATTGTGAAAAAAAAAAAAAATGCACATGTGTATTTAACATAATTTTCTGCCATAGAAAAAACTTACTTATCAAATTTGTGCTTCACCCAACCCTATTCAATACGGGTATGTACATGCATATAGCTACTACAGTTACTGTATATATATATACTACACATGCTTTTCCAAATATAGTTATGTAATTACCGATTTAAAGAATGCCCCTAGCTCAAATATCTCACCAGAAATGAACTTTTTGACCCATTTCGCCTCTAAAGGCCCCTGTTCCTTGAGATATTCTCCCCCCCCCCCCCAAAAAAAAAAAAAAACTATTATTTACCCTACCCTACATTGTTCGGTTGAAAAAAAAGAGATTATATCTGGCGACTCTGCACAGAGAGTAGGCCCCCTTCTTGTAAATGTTCGTCCCAACTAACACAGCCCATGCCGTGTTGTTCGACCTAGAGCATGTTGTACCTTTTCTTTGCTAATTAAGCCTAGAGGATAAATAAAAGTACACCACAGAGGGATTTTTTTTACCGACATTTGGTCTTTTAATAAATTTTTCAACCGTTATATGCCTTTTAAGAATTTATAGCTTTGACAATAATTCTGGTAATACTAGAATTTTTACGAAACATCTTTAAATATCTGGTAGGGGCACATACTGGGTCAGTTATGCCTATGATAGGCCGTATAGGCACCTTATTCCATGACTTGATCTAATGACTTGATATCTAATGCCAAGTATTATCTCCCCATTGTGAACTACTATGTGCAATCTTAAAGTTTTTTAAATTCAGCGTCATTTTTTCTAAATGTTTCTAACTAAGACATTTCAGTAGTTTATATTACTTTGTTATGAAGTTAGCACTGAATGTTAAAATATTCAATATAATCTCGAAATTTCTCAAATATTTCCTCCTCCTTCAACCCGTACAGCTCCAAGTCGTAATGGTGACGACCATATTTATTTTGGGGATTTTCTTTTATATACTCCTTCATCTTCGCTTCAGCTTGCTCGCTGAGATCGAGCCCAAAATTGTCATAAATCTGTCTCACTGTATCTATGGGCGCTCTCACAAGATGTTCGTAGTCTATATCGACGAATCTGTGTTCTTGATCAGGGTGGTTCTTTCTGAATTCTAGGATTTCGTTCCCCGCGTGAAAAAGGGGGTCGTCTAGGACGTCTCTTCCTAAAATATGAACACAGACAACTAAAACGCAATCAGAAATCATACTTAACCAAACGTTATTTACTTAACCAAACGTTATTTACATTGACAGGATCATGAAACAAATTAACAACAAAAACTTAAATAATTTTTTTATTTCACAGGTCAGAAAAAGTCTCAACAGATTATTATTTTAAAGGTTAGTATACTGTATTTCAAAAGTTAGTGTATTTAAAAAAGGTAAGATGATGTTTGAGAACAAGCCCCTACCTATATCTTTGAGGTCGTAGGCACAAGTAGTGAAGTGCTGCACCAATGAGCACACGGAGGCGATCGATTTGCATGGATTGCGGTAGGTGTGAATGAACATTGCGTCCGGATACACCGCCAGGATTGCGCCCAGGTACAGCCCGTGCATGGAATCTTTCAGAATGACGTGCTGGTCACTGCTTGCTGAGTCTAATAAAAGATGTTGATGTTGAAATTCGTTTTCAGTACGATTTAACTAAAAAATTCATAATCACATTAAATATATGAATATAAATAGAAATTTAAATATGCACAAAAGTTTTTTATAATAATACGACAAAGGGCGCATTCAGAACAACAGAATAACAGGTCCTTGAATGTTTGTTAAGTAATACTCACGGGGAATCTATTCAGTGTCTAATCGGGAATTAAGTTTTTAGTGGGTCGCCATATTTGATCCACGGATCTGTTAGTCAGGTGTTCTGAATCCGATCAAAAACATCCAAAGGAAAAGAGATCAATTTGAGAGGACTAAGTTCTATTATGTTCTGATCCTAATTTTTGAAATGGAGAAGCGATAAAGGTGAATCCTTTTATTATGTCTATAACGACCACATTCCTACACCTACTTCTTGCTAAAAGAATAAGCTGAAGTTGCAATCGATGGAAACGATAGGCTTCCACCATCTCTTCCTTGGTTCGAGCGCGCACCCAGTCTCTATATGGTCCAGTGTTACCGCTTATCCCTTGGTAAGCCTTAAATATCCCCATATTTTCGAACAAAGGGAAACACTCGTGAGGACTCTTGGCCTGGATGTTGTGAATATTTTTAAACAGTCGCTTACCTCGGTATGCGGCTTCTGAAATATACGTATATATATTACAAAATAATTTGAGAACTCTCTTTCTTTCCAGTCCCCTCTCTCTCTCTCTCTCTCTCTCTCTCTCTCTCTCTCTCTCTCTGCGACTGTGTGTGTGTGTGTGTGTGTGTGTGTGTGTGTGTGTGCGTGCTCGTGCGCTCACGCGCGTGTGAGTGTGTGAGAGCGAAAGAGCCTGAGAGATGGTTCTCAAAAAACATAAAACTGGTAATCCCATGAATCCATTGCCTCGGCAAAGTCAGCAAATGACTCACTCCTTATTACGGTCAATACGGTCCACTGAACGCCCATAAAAGAACAATCCTCAAAGATTTGAAATACCAGAATCAATTGTTGGGTTTTTGTAGTTACCACGCATTAAAATAAATTCATCAATTATATTATACCTAGAAAGAAACTGAACATGAGAACACGCGGGTCTTTCCCAGCGTCCACAGCGTCTGTGTTCTCCTCCACGGGGCACATCAACTCGTAGAAGAGTGGCGAAGTTTTAAGCGGGTCCTGGTACAGCAAGCTCTGCAGAAAGGTTGTCCCCGTACGCGTTGGCCCAATGATGAAAATAGGCTCCTTGATATGGCACTAAAAACGGCAATTACATGTTGAAGTTATTGTGATTGTGTTTTGTCAAAATTGCATTTACTGTTTACGTGATAGAAAAATATTGCATTTCAATAAGCAATGCGAGTATAAAGTACATGGTTTACATAAAAAAACAATTGAGTAATGAAAAACCTTTATGCAGCATCATGCAGACTAAATTCTGGGTCAATTTTGAAGTTTCGTATAGTGGTACAGATGATAGCTTGCTGATCAGGCTCTATAGGGGAGACCGTTGTCACGAAACTGAGAGTCTGTGTGACAGAAAGTCCGCTCTCCCTATAATTATAATGGTTAGGGTTAGTTCGACCTAAGTGGGTCAAAAATCTAGGGCGAGGCTCACCTGTACAAAGTAATTGGAAGCGGACCCTCTGTCATGGGGGACTTTCTGGTACATGACACCGGGGCTAGTTGGCCCAGTCAGACACTTTCGGCCTTGAAGAGCCAACTAGGAATGAGTTAGAGTAACAAAACTGGTTTCAAAGTAAGCCCCATGAACTAAGCTACGTACGCAACGTCATTATTTTTCAAATATAATACCAGATGGCTCACAATTTGACAAAAAACGCAGTTGACGTTAGGGGGCTCCAGGGTCGCAAGTTGGCCCCAGGGATGGGGCAAGTTGCCCCCCTATACAAAAATGAAGTAAATATTCCATGTAAACGCCTTGAAGTACATTTTTATACATTTTTGATTTATTAAATTGATTTTTGAGTCTTTGGTGAATAATTCTACAAAGCTTCCTCGAAACTTCTTACATATTTCTTTTGGGGCAATCTACCATCCACCAGGGTCTGAAAATAAACCTATGATCCAGCACATTATATCCTATTCTGATGCAATCCTGAGGGCACACCCATTTTCTGCACTGTTCTTGATCGGAGATTTTAACACACTGCCAGACCAACAGATCAAACGAGCTTTCAGTCTGAGACAAATAGTGAGAAGGGGGACACGAAAAAACACCATACTGGATAAAATATTCACATAGGCCAATTCTTCAAAGAGCCCGAAATTTTACCATCCATAGGCTCCTCTGACCACAATGCAGTTCTGTCCTTACCAGAAAATTACAACCGTATCCCCCGAGGCAGAGTGGAAAAGACCTACTCTCGTACATCAGGGAAAAATGAGAAAATTCTTTTTGCCAGAGAACTTACAAAAATTGTCTGGACACCACAATTTAGAATGAAGTCATGTTCCGAGCAGTTTCAATACTTTGAAAAGACAAGGAATGACCTCCTTGATACGTACGTCCCAATAAAAGAATCCGCAAAACACACTACCGACAAACCCTGGATAACCACTGACTTCAAGGATCTTATCAAACAGCGCCTGAAAGCCTTCAGAGAGGGAAACACCAAACTCTCACATAGCATCAGAAACAAGGTTAACAGAACCAATAAGAAACTGAAACCATCGTTTTACAAAAACAAAATAGAATCACTAAAACAGTCTGACTCTTCCACTTGGTAAAAGAAATCGAAAGAGCTAGCAGGTTTGAATAACAATAAATGTTCATTAGAATCACTTGTTGATAGCACATCAAATGGTAATTACCAGGTTCTAATAAAAAAGATCGATGAATTTTTTCAAAGTGTTAGTAGCAATTTGACACCTCTTATACCGGCTGAAAATGTCCACCAGAACTATGTAGTACCAGATGAATTTACTATTAGTGTAAATGATGTCGAAAAACTTCTTTCTGATGTTAAGCTCTCAAAAGCTATAGGTCCTGACCAAATTCCGAATTGGGTCATCAGATATTTTACAGGCTTCCTGTCCAAGCCCTTGTGCGCAATTTTAATAGCTCTATCAGAGAGATATATGTACCTTACACTTGGAAATCTGCAGAGGTAATCCCTGCCCCAAAAGTTAACCAACCAAAAGTGTTCCAGGCTGAACTTAGACCAATATTGCTTACACCAGTGTTGAGTCATTTGTGGCAAAATGGGTAATAGGTGGCCTGAAAATCGATAGGTCCCAATTTGGAGTAGTCAAAAATAGCTCTATATATAGTACCCGCGCTCTAGTAGAGCTGACTCACAAAATACTAGAAGTTCTTGAACCATCTGCTAAAACCGAACAATGTGAATGCTTAGAATCTGTTCAAAGGAGAGCTCTTAGAATTATTTACCCATTTTATACTTACAAGGATGCCCTACAGGCTAGTAATCTCACCTCTCTGAGAGAGAGAAGAGACGTTTTATTTAAGAACTTTTTTACAAAAATCGAGAATTTCAATAAGTTAGACTATCTGTTTAAAGAAAAGAATCCAAGAAATCTCAGGGTCAGCTTGTTTTAAAGCTTTGGTCTTTTAGTTTATAATTTTATTTACTATTAAATACCTTATAATTTTATTTATGATACATTGTAAAACTTCAACCTTTGGGTTGCGGTTTTAGCAAAGAAATTATTATTACTAGTATCATTAATATTAAATAGTTCAAATGAGGCAGATTTATTGAGGTTTCCGTACGTCATGTTGTAGGGGAGGCCTATGTGTTGCAAGAACCAAAATATCTATCAATAAAATCTGTTTTGTTTTAATAAATAAAAAATTAATAATGGTATAAAGCAGGTTTTTAATGTATGAAAACGAATAATAATTTTCCGATTTAAAAGAAAGTAACAAATTCAGTTTTTAACCATTGAGTTACAGCTGTAGTTTCAACAATGGTCTCTAGCTCTGTTGCGCGCAAAGGTTTGTGGCTAATATGAGGATCCAACTTGCCCCGAGTCAAGGGGGCCAACTAGCCCCGGGTGCACACTTTTTTATTTAAAGGATGGCAGCCATTTGTGGAGCTAGAATGAGCAACGATGATACATGTCTGTGAAACTTGAAACAATGAGCTTCAGTTTGATGCTCTATACATATATTACATTCGATCAAAAGCCTATGAAAATAGATTTTTAAATCTCTTAAACAAAATTACTTTTAGGTGCAAAAATTATTTATTTCAACTCACCGCATACGTAAAACATTTTAACGTCCGACACTTCCTCAGCATTGTAGGCTACGGTCACTTTACAAGAGTACGTGGCCATTTTTTTTTTACCTCGTAGTTACTTTTTAATAAATTGACGAGGGGCAAACTTACTCCGGGGTCCAACTAGCCCGGGTCTCCCCTACACTCACCTTGGTCAAGTCCACAGTCGGTAGTCGCCTAGATATAGCAAGTCTGTTCTTTATTATTTCCTTCCATCTGATTTCTATCCTCATCCTCCCAGCCACCGAGCAGGTGTCATCTTCACGGTAACATTTCAACAGTTGAGTGAACCCCTGGTACCACCAGCGCCCAGTAAGATTGTCGGACAGCAGCAAACGGCGGTCGTTAAGAGACAGATCTCGGAGCAGGCTGTCCTCTGTGAGCGGAGTAAAGCGACGCCCCAGGACGACATGGAGTAACCAGTCTAGAAGAACGATTGCGCAGTAGCAGCAGTAGTAGCTGAAGATAAGAATATCGTTGAGTAGAGGCATGGTCAACACTCACAACCTGGGTGTAATATATATACCTGTTATATATTTTTGCTGTCACTGAAGAAAAAAACTCAGGTAACCACTCTTAGTAGTTGGAACACAATGACTGAGTGAACTATGAACTATCAAAGCAACTGAAAACAACGGAAAGTGGCGTTGCCTGCAGGGGCGAATCCAGTATTATTTGAAGGGGGTGTCCCCCCTACTTGGCGTGGAGTTCGGGGTCTTCTGAAGGGCCCCGAAAAATGTTTGGTAACTTAGAGGGCGAACGGTGCCATTTTGTATGGTTTAGAACTACGATTCACCTAGTCAAAATTCTAATTTCAAAAGAGGGCCAGGAATCTAAGGGGGGTCAGGGTCCCCCTGACCCCCTCCCTCTAAATCCGTCACTCACCTGGTCCTCAACTCAAACGCCTTATTAAATATAAATAGGTTCTCGCCTCAGTTGCCCTATTGTAGATTCAATGTAGGCCTATAGACTGCTTTTTTTCAAGTTAACTGGATTTTCAGTAGGCCTATATGTAGGGGAGACCGGGGCAAGTTCGGCCCCTTTTCCTTTGATCGGTTGTAGTACAGCTGCTTGACGACGAATCTCAATGATGTGTTTTGAATAGATAGACTGCTAAATTTCCTTTTTTAATACATTGTTTTAATGTAAAGAAAACCTTGCGTTTTAAAGAAATTTAACATGAAATAAATTTCCAACACGTGGCCGAACGTGCCCCTGCCACGTTAAGAAAATATTTATAAAAAAACAACTAGATAACAACTCCAGTGATCTTTAAACAATGTTAATATTTCCGGATAGATGCCTTAGTGTTTCACTAGAAAATGTAAGTTAATGATATGTACATGTATTAAATATTTGAATTATAGGCTTCGTGCGTGGTTGAAAAAACGCGACAATTAAAAAGTGAAGATACAAGGCCGAACGTTCCAACCCAGGGGCCNCCACGTTAAGAAAATATTTATAAAAAAACAACTAGATAACAACTCCAGTGATCTTTAAACAATGTTAATATTTCCGGATAGATGCCTTAGTGTTTCACTAGAAAATGTAAGTTAATGATATGTACATGTATTAAATATTTGAATTATAGGCTTTGTGCGTGGTTGAAAAAACGCGACAATTAAAAAGTGAAGATACAAGGCCGAACGTTCCAACCCAGGGGCCTAGAAGTAGGCCTAGAGAAACAGAAAGGATATGTAAATATGAGTTTTCTCTAGCCTACAGCGCTAGCCTTTCATCTACGTTTCTTTCATTTTTTAATTACATCTCCTAGCTTATACTGCCGTTTTAAATAACGAAACTGATATGGTCCGTGTATCAATATATTAAGTCCGCCCTACAGTTACGATGGTTAAGGTTATAGCCTGTCCTATTAGAAAATCAATATCTAGGGCGAGGCTAACCTGTACAAATGAATGGGAAGCGGATTCTATCATGGCCGGGGGATTCTGTCACATTACACCGGTAGGCCTATAGGCCTACTGGTCGTACAGTAGGCCTACATGTCATGCTGCAAATACTGAGTAGGCCTACCTCATGAATTACATGAACACCAAGAGATATAGCAAAAAAAGAGCAGACAAGGCACTCCAGTTTGTTTACCTCAAATTCAAATGCTATTTACTAGAGTTGAAGATCACTTTCTCATTTTTAATTTTCCTTTCCTTTGCATTATTTTGATGACCTTTGATCTCATGAAAAAACTCGCATCACCAGGTCACGTGGGTAGGGAATCCCTCGTCAGCCATATTGACTCATTTCACTTCCGCGAGGAAGACGCGCGTTCACGTAGCCGGTGATCAGTCCCAGTTTTACCGCTGAATGTATCAGTGATTACTTCAAAATGGCATCAAATGAATTAGCAAAGAAGCTTGAAAGGCGAATGAACATAAATGAAGGCGAAGAAGAGCCGGCAGTAGCCTCCCAGTCGAAAGTTTTCAACCCGTACACGGAGTTCAAGGAATTCACCCGCAAGCAAATACAGAATTATCAGAAAATGTTTAATGAGTAAGTACGCACACTTCGCATACTTGAACTTAACCTTGTATCTCTAGGCTTATTCAGTGGCTTATTCGGTCAACGAAAGAAATGTAAACGTACGTTGCCTGTTGCATGATATCAACAGGGCAGCTTCACTTCTAAACTTTACAGAATATATTGTCTGGACAGCAAATAAAAAGAGATTCTTAGATTTAGAAAAAGGCCGTTTCAAGTCTAATAGTTTAATACTTGAGATGGGAATATTCCATCTGTAATGGCTTATGTGTATTAAGAAGATATGGCATTTAAACATTAAATATTATAGCCGAAGTGAGCAAGTAAACTTGGTAGACGCTTTCCAAAAAAGCCTGTCGAATTTGTGCTTAGAGGGGGTGTGGCAGGTTTTAGAGAGATGCATTTCAGGTTGCATCAAAGACAACGTATGTCATCCTTTGAGTGTGTGTGTGTGTGTGTGTGTGTGTGTGTGTGTGAGAGAGAGAGAGAGAGAGAGAGAGAGAGAGAGAGAGAGAGAGAGAGATGGCAGTGTAGTGGGGGGCACACACACAATACCAATAACCAACTATTAATAGAGTAAATCTTTTGTTAATACATGTTTGCTGATACCATAAGGTTGAGTCAAGGGAGTATATTATTTTTGGTTTGCAAAGACCAATGATGAAGGCAGAGAAGAATGTCTTTGTCACATGGATGATTATTGCATGATTATGAGTCTTCAATGAGAGAATTCTTGTCTCATTATCTGCCAGATCTAGCCACATGTCAAGGTGATGAATTATATCACCCACTGTATAAATAAGTAAAGGAATGAATGGACATGCTTTCATTTTCTGTAATCTTAATCTAGATCTGTTGCCATTTTGTCTGCACAGTACCTGCCTCAGTCATATAACATGGAAGCAAGTGAAGTTGATAGAAGTAGACATGCAAGTGAAATATATATATATAGAGGCCTGTTTCTTGTTACTCTATATAAAGGCATCTTGAATAAGTCCTTAGATAATCTTGTACAAGATGTAGTAAAGTGGTGCTACTGTCTTAACTTACTCAGAGTATTTATCATCATACAGAGGGTAAATGTTTTTTCTTTTTTTTTTTTTCCTTTTTTAATTTGGAAAAAAAATTGAATAGAACTGGAAATCTGTGGTACCCATTTTCTCTCTCTCCACACCTGGAGAGTCAAATTTATTACTGAATGTAGGGTAAATTTGATATTTTTCATTCAGAAAATCACACACAGACAAAGAAACAGATTAGAAGGAGAAAACAGCTGTATAGACCTAAATGTTTTTCCAGTCCATTTATTTATATAAGTGCTATTCCTGTGTGGAGTTGAAATGAGTCACAGGCCTCACATATCAGTAGAGTTTGAATCAGAGCAGCAGTAATAAATATCTGACACCACGCTCATGAACCCATCTTATTTGCTCACTACTCAAACACATACAACTCTTGTTTATGTTGGGACATATTGCACCAGTTGACTAAGAGTTTACATGCTTTTTCTCTGGTAAGTAGATAGAAAACATGCCACATTGTTTCGAACCCCCATGAATCTGCGAATGTTTGAACCCTGGTGATTGAGTTACAGGGTTGTTCTACTGAAATGTATTATACCAGTTGACTTTCAACAAGAAAGATGTACAAGTTGTCAGGTAATTGTCAACCAAGAAAAATGTACTAGTACAAGACTAGTTATCAAGTATAGTAACTTTCAACCAAGAAAAATGTAGTTATCAGGTGTTCTGTAACAGAGTGACATTTTTTTCTCCCATTTCTTCCAGTGGGTTATATTATATACACAGTGGGCTATACATATATATAAGGGATTGTTTAACTCAGCATCATGGAATACACACAATTGTTTCCTGTATTCGCATCCTGATTGCCTTGCTGGTAAAGTGCATGTTTTTCAAACACACTTCCTGCTTCTCACATCACATGTTTACTGTTAGAACTGCTGTTTAAAGTTGGTAAGTCAAGTAAGTAAACAGTTCAGTATTCAGTTCAGTGGCTGTGGTAAAATACATGCTGACTGTCAGTCTTGAGTTCTTTGGATCTGCAGCTTGTTATTAGGCCTGTATACTGACTGTGCATAGTAGTAAGGTACAAGGGCAGCAATTTCACTTACTAGTAAAGGTTTTTCTAAAAACTGGACCCTTTACCCCTTAAGTTCACCTAATTTTAGAACCTGAATCAAAATTTGATTCAGAGCAGACCTTTTATGACCCAAAGGGAAATTCATTTTACCCCCCCCCCCCCCCAACAACTACTACACCCTGGTAACTAAGCTAAACAAGTGACAGGTCACTCTTTTCCAGTGTTATCAGGCCAGTTACTAGCCAGCATTTTCAAAAATGGGGGGTCTGAAAATGTGGACCTTTTAGGTAGTACCAGGAAACTTTTGTATACTTCAAAAAGTTTTACTCAGAGTAAAACTTCACTCGACAAAAAGGGCAGATTGTTTGAACCCCACCGAACAGCCCCCCCCCCCCCTGCAGCTATGGACCTGTGTGGTTACTATTGCTCCTGTTGGTCCCTTCTTGTCCAGTGTTGGTATCCCTGTCTGCAGTGTGCAGTGCCATTAAGCATTTCTAATATCATCCCCTACCTGTGATAATGGATATATAATGAAAGGAAACTGTAGCTGGTGGAAATGAGAGCCATTTCTCTCTTCTTGGGTTTCTTGTGAAATCACTTGTGGCAATGAGGTTGATGGACAGGGTCAGTTCAGACAGGGGCTGCTTTTGGCACAGGTTTCAGACAGAAATTTGAGCATAAATCACAATGAGATCACAGAAGACACTGGAAACTCAGCATCTATTTATATATCTAGTATAAAATTTGTCTCTGGCCTGGTAGAGAGGTGAGTTTTCAGTGATGGGTTCTGAAACTCCGGTGAATGAGATGCTGTTGTACCAAGAAAAACCAAGTTTGTCCAATATTTTCGGTCTGAAATCGCTCATGTCTGACCAGTCTTCAAGTTGCTGCTCAAGACAAGCTGGTCAAATTGCACACTTAAATGTCCATCCTTCGCCACGTTTGCCATCATTATCCTCTCTTAACTAACAGGTTATAAGGGGTGTAAATGAGATGGACAGTGATTAAGTAATATTTTAAGTATGATTATGTTATTAAGGTTACTAAAGCCTCAGGTAGGTTTTCAACAACTGATAGAGGTGTGGTCATCTGGTGCTTTTATATGTCCATCTGCGAGTCCATCATTTTCTTTATGCTCTCACCTAATCATTGGTCAGACCTACTAGCATTTTCTTTTTGTGTGTTTGTTTGCGTGTGCATGTGTGTGAGAGTGTGTGTGTGCATGTGTGTATTTTTTAGCATTCTGCAACACAAGCCCACAGTATGTAAAATTATTTTCAAGATTTATAGAGGAAGTTTCACGTTCAATTTAAGGTTTGATCTAAATAGTCATCGGGAAGATTAGAATGTCATTCTAGCAATAAGTGTGTCAGTGAGCAACTTCCTGGTGTGGTCAGGTATGTTATTCTTCCTGTTACCTGTTGTCTCACCTGTACAGTCAGGTGTCATAGTAGTGCTCTGTAGGCAGTGTATTAAGAATGTCACCAAATAAGGCAAAAACTGTCACGACAAACTGGGACGTGATTAAGGATTAATTACATGATTATTTCACTGCCATTGATCTTATGTGAGACTTTTTCATGAGGAAGTGTTATCAGATACAAAGATTATTGTGATACCTGAATATCATTGCAGCCTTAACTCTGCATATATTTATACTTACATATGAGTGAGGCAATGCCTTGGGCCTCTGCTCTGAAATATATTAAACCACTAAAAGGGGGTGGGTGGGATTTGATTGCAACAGAATTTTGTAAATGAAACTTGATTGAGGGAATTAATGAATGAATGCATTAAATAAATTAATGAATTAATAACAGTATATAATTTAACATTAGAAAATTGAATTAATAGATGATTGAATTATTAGTCCCCTTGAAGTGGACAATATGATAATTAATATTCAGGCCTGCTACAAGCTCCAGGAGTTGTGGCATATAGCCCTCAGGTGGCAGTGTATTGTTTGGCATACATACTAAGAGAAAGTACTTGCATTTCACCACCTTAAAAGGTATATATATATATATTTCCAGGGGCACATAACACCTCTAGGTACTATGTGTATATATATCAGTGGCACACTCCAGTTTTACCCCAGAGTGTATCTTATCATGGCTCTGGTATGTGTTGTGTTGACATGAAGTCATCATCTACACTCACCAAGTAAACAGACACTTCACTATGTCTACTATGTCAACACACGGCCAATGTTATCTTACACTTGACATTACAAGTGTTTGTTTTGCGATGATTAGGGGAATTTATGAAAATTTATGGTTGGCACATTGGTTGTGTTTGGTCTGTTTATAAATGAGAAGAGAATGTTGATTGCTGATGACTATTGCATTGTGTTTTTATCTTATGAATCATCCAAGGATAAATCTGTTTTGCATTGTGTGTTCTATTTATAATGTGCATAATTGGTTACTTGCTTATCATGTCCTCATGAAATGTGTCATCTATTTCTATACATCAGTGGCATCTGTTTCCATACATTCAAGCATTTTGTTAATGTTCAAATCATACTGTTTCTACTCTGTTTACATTTAATTTGCACTTTTGCAGTGCTAAAGTCTATGCAACATTCACGTCCCTCTTTTTCTGTTTAAATTCACTTAGTTCTGAAGTTCTAGAGTTTCACTGCATCCTGTCTTTAAAAGGAGCTTGAGTAAGAACTTTTTTTTTTTTTTTGATACGGGACAATAAATTGGGTTTACTCCTGCAGGAGCTGAGGCAAACTTGGTCTTCCTGGTCTGTGTACTTTCTAGTCAAACAGCTTTCCTGAAATTTGATTACAGTTTTGGTTTAAAAGAAAGTGAGGAAGAAAATCTTAAACATGTTTAAATAAAAGAAAGTGAGGAAGAAAATCTTAAACATGTTTAGAATTTAGTGTGTCATGTTTGAAACTGATCCTAGATGAGCTCCCAACTTGTAATTGAGAACATACCACAGAAAAAATGAGTCCTTGGGCCAAGTCAATGACCCACAGTTTATGACAATTTAATATTTTCACAATTATTTGATGTCACAGTTTAATTACTGTTGATTTCATTCCACATTGAAAGGTACTGTACTGTAGTATCAAACAATATCAATAGGACACGTAGTCAGAATTAGGTAAAATAATACACAAAATGTGAGCATCACTGAATAACTCAGAAGGTCAATATTTCTTGTGCACTCACTGACCCTTTGTGTATCGGGATCTGACCTGTTGAGGAGAGTGATGAGTGCATGTACTTTTGGAAGTAGTGAATGCGCTAACCTGTGTGTGTGCATGCGTGTGTGTGTGTGTGTGTGTGTGTGTGTGTGTGTGTGTGTACATG